TGACAAAAACTGAGGACTGATGGATGTGGGGGGGAGGGGGGGATGGGCATGGAGGAGGGCACTTGTGGGGATGAGCACTGGGTGTTATGTGGAAACTAATTTGACAATAAACTATTTGTAAAAAAAAAAAAAAAGAAATTAGTAACATTTTCATGATAGGCCTGAAAAGATAATTGATACTCTCATTGGTATATTAGTTTATTTTCAAGTAATAAGCTGGTAAAATATACCAGCAAAATATATTTCAAATAACTTAAAGTTACTGAGGTAGAATTCTAGATGAAGAGAAACTTTTGACGATGTAAACAGGAATGTAAAACCAGTAATTGCCGTATATCCCAGAGGGCACAGACATGAGTCACAGAATGAGTAAACTCCATTTTAATACAGCCACGTCTCCATAGATACACGATTTCCTTACTATGTTTCTTCCTCCTATCATTAATTATACGATTTAAGCACAGTGTTATAGATATTAGGTATATTAATAAATTCATATGTGGAAAGGATTTCTATGATTTTAAATTTGTTTTCAGTGCTCAACATAATGGTCATACGTTATGTTGGTAGGCATGTTAGTCTTATATGCTAACTTGTTAAGCTATGATAGCCAGTTATTTGGTTCCTGTGAAAGCATTTTGAAGATATAGTTAATATCTATGATTGGATGACTTTAAGTAAATGAGACTATCTCAGAAATGTGGATGAGCTGCATTCAGTCAGTTGAAGGCCTTAACAAAAACTGATTTCCCAAAGGAAAAGGGATTCTGACTCCAAAGTGCAAGGATATCATACCCCGCCTGAGTTTCTAACCTGCCGGCTTTCTCTACAAATTTCTGATTTGTCCGTGCCTATGACTGCATGAGCCAATTCTTTAAAAGAATTTTCTTTATCTATATATCCATACTTATAGGTCTTATTCGTTCTGTTTCTCCTGAGGACCCTGCCTTATACACTAGGTATTAATCACAATCACATTTTCCACAGGTCATTAAAACTGACTAAGCATTATCATTAACAGTTCCTTTAGTTTTCTATTATAAACTTGCTTATTAAAATGTAGTTATAATGCATGGCATACAGAATATTCAATTAAACAAATAGGTGTGGATTTATCAGTAAATGCAAAGGCTTGGGCTTTATGTTGGTTTATAACATATATTATAAACTATATTATTATTATATTATCGTAAATATTAAATATAATTTAAATATAATTTATAACATATACATATATAATTAAGTCACAATCCCTTTCTTCAGTGGAGAAAGAACTCTACATGTAACAATTGAGTAGGATCAAATTAGTGAGTGTTTTGATACAGGTATTCATAGCATGACAATTCATAGATCAGAAGTAATGATTCTCTATGACTATGACATTTGGGAGAATGTGGAGGGAAGTGAGGGTGGATGGGTGGTAGTAGTTGGATATTAAAAGTTATTAAATACCAACTAAAGTGGTCAAACATAACTTTGTGGCAGGGCACCAATGGATGTTGAGGGGGATTTTTATATCATCTGAAATCCTATTCTCCTGACAAGTCTATAAAAGGAAAACTGTAAGGCAGAAAATTAGAGGCAAGGGGTTGGAAAACTTTAGAACATCACATAAAATGTTCAATTTCACAAACAAGATGCTTTGGGTCTTAACTCACAATATTATTATTTCAATATTATCTAAAAAGTCAATAGTCTTATAGAATAGATTTCAGTTCTAAAAATGAGCATAAGCTTAAAATCATTATTCTTAAAAACAATAAGAATAAGCATTCTTCAAAATGTTTATTGAAAACTATTATACATAACTAAGCTTTTATCAATATAGAAAAGCACCCATTTTAAGAAGAAAAACATCAAGCAAATAAAAAACCATGACTATACATCATTTGCTTTTGCTTTTACAAAATATATATTTTGCAAAATATATTTTTAATGACAATTGCCTTAACATACAGAATTCATTTATTAGACATTTGTTAAGTACACTTACCTCCTATATGATGGGCATGTTGAGGCACTGATGAATGTATTTCAAAGTAACATAATACTCATTGAGTTTTATTTAAACAGGGGTCGCATATACTGGAACTACGGAACTTCTCATGATTTAGAAAAAATAGTACCTTGTCTTTTAAATTGATAAATTATTTGGATGGTGATTTGGGGTCAGACAAAAATTGTCTGTCTTAATATAAAGCTTAAAAATTAAAGTAAGCCTAATTTTCAAAGATAAAGGAGCAAAGTATTTCTTACATAGCTTCATAATAAGAGAAAGATACATGAGACTTCAGATTGTATTGGAAGGAAAAGATGATTCCACAAAATCCATGTCTTATGTGTTTCTTACTTTCTCTCATTAAAAAACAAAACAACAATAAACAATTATTAGATCACGGATTATTGTCAAGAGTCTGATAGTGCTAGCTGGTATTTCTATTCCTATATTTGAGAATTTCTTAAAATGCTGGACAATCTATGAAAAATGGTAATAGGACAGTAGAGAGCCTACAGTCTTAAGACGTATGTAGAAATGCAGCTAGAATTTTTGTATCTAAAATTTTAACTTTAATAGTAGAGATATCCAGGGTAAAAAATATAAAATTAACTGGTAAGCACTCATGAGAACATTTATAAAAGCTATATGAATTTGCACAAAATAAATCCTATCATTTTTCTCTTATCTTTTTATAAAAGACAGTGATCTGTATGGTAGTGTGTGAGAGAACGAGAGACAACTCTATTTTGTATGAATATTAATTTTTGATATTGTTTTATTTGACAAAAATCAAAAACCTAGGAAATAGAGTACAGATAACACTACTTATATAGGCTAATACAATTAGCTAGGATATGTTTTTTAAATTACAGGTAATGACCCACTAGTGGGTTTTGAAATCAATTTTGTGGGTCAAGACCCGTATTAAAAAAGAAAGAGTAACAAAAAAGAATAAGAATAGAAATAAAGAGGAAATATACGATTAGTATTATTTCATAAATAATCCTTTTTTTTTTTTTTTTTTAGTTGTGTGTGTCCAGAGTTGAGACGTAAAGTTCATACCTTAAAACAGATTGTGGGTGAAAATATTTCAAAAACCTGAGCTAATATTTTAAAAACACTCAGAGAATGGTCATCAATGTATCATTGTCACCCAGAGGTGGACTTCCACCAAAGAGTTCCACTGAGGTCAGCCCTGATACGGGGGTATTTTAGTGTCTTGTCTATGTCCCAGATAATGGAAAGTAGAACACATTTAAGTCACTCATAATGTCCCATATGGGGATAATTCAGTACCAGAATCTTTAAACAGAGAACTGAGTTTTCATATCACTGTTGTGCATTGATAAACTTATCCAAATGCAGTATATTTTTCAAGTTATGACTACATATTTGGAAGGATACAACAGCTACACTTTAATATTTTCTAAAAATAAGGCAGTATTTCACAGGATCTACAACTGGGTCAAATGGTTTAGGGAGTTTAAAATGGTTGCTAATTTATTTGCTTATACACTGATGAAAAAAATGATAAGCGAGTGTGTATAGATTTTTACATTTAAATTTTTTTCTAAAACATGTAATTAGAATCATAAGCAATTATATTCTGATCTCAATTCTATGTACAGGTAGAGCTCTGGGAATTCTTAAAATTAGCTCTGATATTAATTTCAGAGAGGTTAAAATAATGTGCCCTATATATGAAAGGCTTTAGTTGTCTTCATGGAATTTAGTCTCTTATTACTTATATGTTACCATGGGATGTGATATTAGATTGGATGATTTACACCATTGAGATCATAATCAATCCTATTACTGCTCTCATGGCTGCCTTTTCAAAGAATAAAACATTTTTCTTGGTTGAACAAATACAAGTCCTGATAATAACTGTGTATTGCTTCACTTGTGATTTTGATGTAAAGTTCTTAGCAAAGTATTAAAATACTATAGCTCAATGGAGACTCTTCCCACTGTATCTTTTTTCCTCACTTTCTTAGAGGTAAATGATAAGAAAACACCTTTCATTTGTGGGGTCATGGTAACAATGATATAATTTTGCTGTGGTCTGGTACACTGGGATAAATATCTTGTCTCCATCCACTTACCTTGCTACATGATTAATTACTGGAGCGAAGTTGGTTGGCCCATACAGTTGTACAGATTTCAGACTCCTATAGTAAGCCTCCATGACCCCCTCAATGCCATCACAGTAGGGGTTTTGAGGGTTCCCATTCTGTAGAATTTACAGGCAAAAAAGAATAGGAGTTAATAGTGTCTATAAAGATAAACTGAAAACCAGAAAAGATAGGTTGATACTCAATGACATTTTGGAAGTACAGTCATTTATATAATAGCACAACATAATAAAGTGGTCAACAATAGATTACAATATATTATGTAGATTATGATACGATGAGTCTAATATGTAGTCATTAAAAATTGATACTCTTCAAAAAAAGCACTGCAGAAAATTCTAAATAGTCTTGAGAAGATGAATATCACAACATTCTACAATTAATGTCCTCATTTTACACATGTCTGTGTATGAGTAGAGATGAACATAAAAGAATCCTGAAAAGAAGTAAATATTTAAAAAAAATTTTTTTTAATGTTTTATTTATTTCTGAGAGAGAGAGACGGCATGAGCAGGGGAGGGTCACGGATAGAGGGAGACACAGAATCTGAAGCAGGCTCCAGGCTCTAAGCTCATTGTCAGCACAGAGCCCGATGCGGGGCTCGAACCCAGGAACTGTGAGATCATGACTTGAGCCGAAGTCGGACACTCAACCGACTGAGCCACCCAGGTGCCCCGAAAGGAAGTAATTATTAATACTGGTTAACTCTGGGTGATTACATATAATTGGTGACTTTTATTTAATTCCTTAAACTATTCAGTATTTTCTGACTTTTGCGCAGTGACACTATTAAAATCAAGAAAAAAATTGCTATCCATTCAATTTTACCTTATGGAAGGAAAATATGAAATATCTAACACATGCACATTTTCAAGTTGCAATAACCCCAAGCAGAGAAGGAATGCAATTTGGTGTGAGAAATATCAAGACAAGGCAAAAGGACTGGAATCAAGGAATCATCCATGTTGTTCAAGGGGAATGGAGTTTGCCATTAAGTTCTTATTCTGGCGATTGCATCTAGAAGGGCAACTAAACACCTGGAGACCTAGACCAGCTTTTCCACACCTTAAATGCTTTGGTATTGTGAGGGTTAATTCTCCTAGTCCAGATTTAACAAGCAACACAAAGAAAGCAATATATTAGTTATTACTTTGGAGCAAATTACCCCAAAAGTTAGTGGCTTAAAACAATAATTACTTCTTATCTCAACATCTTTTGAGTGTGAGCAGCAGCTTAGTGGGTGCTTCTTACTCGAGGTTTCTCCTGAGTTTGCACTCAGTATGCCAACCTGGGCACCTGACAGCTTGACCAGAGCTGCACAATCTGCTTCCAGAAAGGTTCACTTAAATGGCTGCTGGCAGGAGGTCAACATGGTCTCTCTGCAGGGCTGCTTGAGTATTCTTACAACATGGCAGCCAACTTCCTCAGAATGAGCACACCCAGAAGACAGCAAGAAGGAAGACCCGATGCCCTCGGGTCAGTCTCATAAGATGCACACCATTACTTCTACTTTAATGTATTTGCTAGAAATGCATCGCTAAGTATACCCCATGCTCAAGGGAAGAGGGATTAGGCTCCACCTCTGAAAGGGGAGAAGTATTAAAAACTGTAGATATATTTTAAAACACTAGAGACATTAATTATATTTAAACATAGTTCATAATAATTTCAGCATGCATGGTTATATCTGAACAATCACAAGTGACTGGCAATTTATAACTAAAATTTGTTGAACATTATATGCTAAGCATTACACTAAAGCATTTACATGTATTATATAGATTTTATAACAACTCTAAAAATAGTAGCTAAAGTGTTGTCATTGTCTCCACATTACAAATGAAGAAACTAAGGCACTGAGAGCTTACATACTGTGCCCCAACATTACTTGAACCACTTCAATTTTGCCATTTGTGAGAAAGGAATCTTTACCCCTTTTCGTTTTTAATTTTGTCTTTTCATCAAACTTTTTATTCATTAACCATCATGTCAATTTTTAAAAACATAAAAATAATAAAAGACCTCTTATAATTTATAATAAAGACCTCTATAATGTTATAGTATAAAATTGGTTATATTAGTTGAAATTATAATGTAAAAGCTTAATATTTAGCGCAAAGCAGTTAATGATTGCTCTTGATGTTAATCTGAGCTGACCTATTTAACCTTCCTTTAAGTAAAAGTTTACAGTGTTATTTCCTTTTAATCAGATCTGAAGCTGATTAAAATTAAAACTCATTATTGATTTTTAGCATATAAAAATGTATTCTGTATCTGCCTTTAGGGGGAGAAATACAAACCAGGATAGTTCTGAGCAACTTTTTCATCATCCTTTTAACATTTTGACTAAGGATTTATATTTCTGGAAAATAATAAATTTTCTGTATTCCTGTGGAATTGAAATTACAAAAGGTCACCATTTTTCTTACCATTTCATTTCTTAGCGGAAAGATAATCAGTGGATGTTCTACTCATCATTATGGGATATTTAAAGCACTGATTTCTGCATTAGTCCTATGTTGTAATAAGTTACTCTTAAGAATTCCTCATATGTGTTGGATGATGATATTTATGATATAAAATTAAACACATTTTAGTATACACTTTGCATGATATCAGGATTATTTAAAATAGTTTACAGCTATTGCATGAGGTTTTCCTTTTAATGACAACGGTATGAGTTATACAAAGATTTTTTTAAGTCTGTTTAAAACTCCTTTCACAAACCAATTGTGTGTCGGTTACTAATTACTAATAAGCAATTAGTTTTTACTTGTTAAAACAAATTAAAATAAGCTCATGTGTGGATCTAGCACAAAAGCACAGGATATTTTTGAAAATAAGTGCATTCAATCTTGTTGTTTATTAATGAAGATGCCAGTGGATGCCCTTTTTTATATTTCCATTTTAGTTAACAATTTTTTCCATTTATAAAATAATGAATATTAATTTGTCGAACACATAGGACATCAAGAGCAGAATTTAAAACGAGTACTACTTCCACAGTGCAGGCTTAAGTGTGGGAAGGGACAATCGGCTCTCATCCATTTCCCCCTCCATTTGGCTCCCTGAAAGACTGTGCTAAGGATTTAGACTCCTTTCCAAGAGAGACTATATAGTCTCTGCTGCTGCCTAGAGCCTATAACACTCTTCAGCAGGGCTAACAAGCTGACAAAATGTTGAACAGAAGCTCTAAGGAGTTGTTACTTTCCTCTTTGAAATGTATCTGTTGCTGCCCAGAGGTTGCTTACTGTGGGGAAAAGCTTCAAGAAGTCTCCCTTTTAGTCAAGAAATAAACATCTGTTGAGCTTCTATTTTTATGCAGAAATGTTAAGACCCTTGCTTGCTAAATTGTTAGCATCTAGATGGATGGAAAGACACACACATAAATGTTAAATCGCGCAGATTTCTATAAATCCCAAGGCAAGTGAAAAGGAGGCCAGCACTTTACCAGATCTAGTAAGAGAAATCCCTTGGGCAGGTGTCCCATTTCTCTATCGATCCTTGCAGGAGCCTTTCCTTTATGGGTCACTGGCCATATACTCATTACAAATACTCCTCTAAAACTCGAAACTATTACATTTTTTATTGTAACACCTTAGGGAGTCGTTGGGATCGTAACGGGAGGTGAGCAATGACTCCTTTTTACGACCCTTGCGCTAAAGTGGTGGCAGCACGACATTCTTCCTTTCCTTTTCCATTCCCTGTTCTTTCTCCACTCTGGAATATATGAATATATTTGTATTCATATTTCATATGAAAAGCTGGGGGTTATCTGCGATCCTTTTGATAACAGCAAAGAAAACATTAAAAAAGTAAGTTTCGTGCGCTCACTTTCAACATTTGTGCTGGCCGTAAACTCACCAATGAAGGATTATTTACTTTTCTAGGAGGCATCTCTTGCTAAATGAAATATTATTTGAACTTAGTGTGATAAATAGATTAATGTTTATGAATATATACCACAAATTCTTACCATGAAAACATGAGGGTTTGTTAGGATTAGAGTACATTAGTGGCTAGATTGACATGGGACAGAAGTTTTTCTATTTGCCATTTCAGCACCTAGAGATACATACTGAAGCTGTTTAGGATGAGGCTAACAGAATACTTTAGCAAAAAATCAAATACAAACTCATTGAATACTTACTTAACTCATCTGCTTTATTTACCCAAGAAAACAAAAGTGCTTTGAAAAAACTAATCAGTTAGTAATGTTAAAGCTCATGCATTATCATCACTATAAATATCATCAGTGTTGTTTTCATCTTCACTTTGGGAGACTATTTTTCATAACTTTAAAGGGGTATGATTTCTATCCTATAAGTTTTTGAGTTGGGTCCAAGAATTTTAAGATGCAAATAATAAATAAAAAAAATCTGTCCTTGGCAATAGATATTTGCATAGGTTTTATTGTAAAGAATGAATTTGGGAGCAGAAAAAGAGTGTTAGAGAGAAAAAAGGGAAACAATCATATACAAGGGTGAGAAAAAATGCATGGAAGGAAAAATTAATAAACCTCATTTAGTTTAACATAATTATTCTTTTTCTTAAGCTTTAAAATAGCTCATGACCTTTTTCCTGAGGCACTTAAGACTTAGCATCACTTGAGTGATTTTCATGGTTTTATAAGTTTCTGGGAGATTTTAATTCTCTAAGACACAACAAAATCCCAATAGATACTCATTTTTATATGACAGTGGAAATGTGGCATGTGGGCTATTTCATGGAAGAAAGAATTAAAGCCTCCAGCAACCTTTCCTGAAATTGTGTGGGCAATGGAATAGAAAAGCAAGGGTAGTAAATAAAATATAAAAATACTGCTCTTAAAAGATATTTAAGGAAGTTTATTTGTAATCATACAAAAGCTTCTGGAAGTGTGTGTGCATGTATGTGTGTATCATGATCATACTATATCATGGTGTTAAAAAGCACTGATCTGAGAGGTGGGAGTCATTATAGGTGGTTATAAAATTTGCTTTAGTAATAGTTAAAGAGCATGTATTCCAAAATAAGACTGATCTGGTTTCAAGTCCTGTCCTCTGGAATCCTGGTTAATTCCTGTGACCCTGAGCTGATTTATACAACACATGGGACACTCTTTAACTGTATTCAATATGAGTGCCACTTGCTAGAGTAGTGCAATGTGACAGTCATGATATTCCTACCACATAGGAATTTTATGAAGACTACGTAAGAAAATATTGTAAATTGGCTTGATACTCAGTAATTACTGAAAAATGGTAGCATTATTATTTTTGCCTATTTTGCTTGCAGAACTTTTAAAAAATATCTGATTATGCATGGCTTCTGTAACATGAATAAAAACAGGAAAAAATTAAAAAGATAATGGGGATGCAAGAATTTACTCCTGAAGTGCATAGAGGGTAGGGAAGCACTTCTAAATAGGAAAAGCTAAAATTTTTCTAAAATGACAGGCGACCATTACTATATTGATTTTCCCATTATTTTATCAGAAAGCACAGGGAGAGGAAGGCTGACTGGGTGTATAAGCATTATCTGTGTGGAGTTTATTTGGAAGGTAGAGTGCAGTACATTGCTTATCTACAATCACAACATATGGACTAGATCTATGTAAAGCAAACATTAATTAGATATTTATTTCAGCCATATCTATTCTATTCTGTTGAAATTATAATTCATTATAGCCATAATTATTGCTTCACATCAAGAAATTAATTTTAGTCATAACTAAATTTGAACATGGTAGATTAAGACAGTCATACTTTCTATGAGATAGCCTCCCACTGAGAGGTAAGGGTTACTCTGAAACTGGGCTGGCCTTAGTGATTTTCTTGACTAAGAGAATTTAGCAAAAACAAGTTTCTGGGATTTCTAATGCTATGGTATAGAGAGCCCTGCAGTTTCTGGCCCAGCCTTTTAGAATACTCATTCTGGGCAAGCTGGCTGCCATGTAACAAATCTGACTACCAAGAGATGGTCATACTGTGATGATGTCCATGATAAACACATGGGCAGGTCATATGTAGAAAAAGGGAGAAATGTCCAGGCAACTCAACTATTTCAGTCATCTGTCTTGAGTATCACACATGAGGAAAGAAGCCATCTTAGGGGACATGATAGCCCCAGAACACATGACATGGAGAAGAATTGAGCAATCCAACCAACGGACAGAATGAGGCCCAGATACATGGTTCTCGTCAACAATTCCAGCCACCTCTAGCCATAAAGGCACCTTAGTTAAGGCCCCAGACATCTTAAAGAAATATATCATCTCCTATTGTATTCTGCTTAAATTTTTGACCCCAAAATTATGAATATAATGGAATGGTGTTGGTTTATGCATCTAACTTTTAAGGAGTTTGTCATGCAGCAAAAGACAACCAGATTAGACCCTCTAAAACCAGATGCAATTTAAATATATTTACTAGTAATCCTTTTAACTGTCTTTTTCTTCAGACTTCTAAATCAATCATTTTGCAAAATTGAGCTGAGTCTACAGTCAACAAAGCCTGCTACGTGACTGACTAAAGCTCAGTAGTGAACCAACATTCAAAGATATTATTTTTTTCAGAAGACCAAATCCTTGTGATGTACTCTTACCAAAGCAAATTCATGAGATATCCTTCCATCTGGAGGCAGTTTTGCACCAAAACCTAGAGCTGGGAACATTTTGTCACTGTCATAATCTTGAACGATTTCTCCCACTGCTTTCAGGGCCATTCCATAGGCATTCAATTGGTAAGGATTCATGTAATGGAGAGAAGTGGGCTGGGCAGGGTTGCCTGATGACAGAAAAAATATTTCAAACATGACTGATCGGGCCAAAGATGTCATTTTTTTGACAACATTTTTTTGATGCCTATTTCAGAATGAAATACTTAAAATTATGTTTTCTGCCTACATCCATACTGTGTCAAATAGTTTCTTTTTGGATGGATATTAACATAGAAATATTTATTACATTATTTCAGACATGTAGAAAGTTTTCCAAAGATATGCCAAAGCATATGCAGATTTTGTCAGAAATTATTCCTCACTGTCAAGGCCACAGGCTATTTTTGAATCTCAGTTACAGAAGAAGTATTTAAATACTTTTGTTAAACTGATTTTATTGTCATCTTTATTTTTAAAAAATCATGTGCCTTTACCTTGAATCCTTATACCTATAGAGGACTCAACTGATTTAATGGGGTTCAATAATTACGAAGCTTCCTAAAGTTCTGTTACGAACATAAATTGAATATTTGAGAAATATCCCAATTTTATCATGTAAAAAAGGGAAAGCATAGTGATTTTCAAATTCAAGCTAATTAAATAATCTATATTCAAAAAAAATTCAGTAATTCTAACTAGACATTAAACTGAGAGCCAGAAAGCTCTAAGTCCAGTCTTGAAATTTTCAAGACAACACCTATAAAATGTCTGCAATAAATCCTACCACACTGTTTACTGAAGGCCAAAATGAGATATGTGTGAGGAAGTGATTAAAAATACTAAAGCATCATAGAAATGTAAGGCCTAACTGCTACTACTATTACTGTTTGGGTCATCCACAAGGTTCTGAAATTTCAATATACTTACACTCTGTAGGGTGTTGGATTTGAATAGAGATGAATTTGAGAGAGAAAGTAATATACATGCTACCACTCAAACACATTGAGATTCACATTGAGTTGCCCTAATTACCAGCACAAAAACTGCCTGAAAGTCTGTTTAGTTCCTTAAGTGAAAATGGAAAGTTAAATGGGACTTGTAATAGCACATAAAGCTCAATTCTACATTAAAACATTGCCTGAAGGAAAGCCTCAGGGCACACTTCTTTTCTGATAAGAAAAAAACAATAATAATAAGCACTTGAGATCTAAAGAGAAACAAAATTAAGGAAAGATATCCCCTTGGTTTATAATACATATAACTGTACACAGAACATTTTTGGTCTAAAAATAATGCATTGCATAAATGTTATTTCCAAAGGTTTATCCGCATTCAAGGGCTGGTCCCACATGATGAAATTTCTGAAACAGTATCTTCTGACCAAATGGACTTAACATTCATTCCCCTCAATCAGACTAAACTTTGGAAAGATTTCTTCATAATACAGACCCCTGACCTTCTTTTTCTTAAAGCATTTGCTTTAGATAACTTGAAATTATCAGTTCTTTCTCTCTGCCTTTGAGATATAAATCTCCTACTAGCCAGGGATGTCTTTCTCTAAGACTTGGAATCATCTCATTGAAATATAATCATGGAGAAAGACAATACTCCTATCCCCTTGTCGCTTTGGGAAGGTAGGAGCCTAGCTTCAATAAGTGCTGATTAACAAACAGATCAATGTCTTCCCTAAGGTCCCTCAGTACTTTTCCATTAAATCACAGCCGCCCTTAAGATCTCCCCCACCATTTGTTTTGGAGGAGTTGAGTTCAGTATTTTCCTTATATTCCAGTAGACTTGACCTCCAGTAGACTTGACCTTTATGTCAACAGTCTTGAAAATGTCTTCCTTGCCCATTTAAATTTCATTGACACTTTCTTCTAAATTAGAATTTTGCACTTGGTCAAAAGCCCACTGGAGCCACTGGGGAGCAATATAATTACTTGACTAAGTGGTTATCTAATGCAACTCTCATATATATGAAGAGTTCTTAACTATTGTCTGTAATAAGGTAATAAATTCTACCTCATTAAGAGAATCATAATTTAAAATTAAAATGAAAAAACCACTCATACCCTAGCATGTCTAAACATCTTTGCCTATCATGCAAAGCAGGGTTGAATCCCACCCATGCAAAAATGTCACTTCTTTCTGGCATCTGCCTCAGACCAGTCTCTTCACTGTATCACTAATGATATCTTCCTTCCTATCTCTGCCTCTCAAGTTGCCACCTTGTCCTGAAATACACTTCATTGTCTGCAGTTTATGTTTTACTTGGATCAGACAAACCTCCTTGTTAATTCCAACAGTCTTTTCCTCTCCTACTCAAATGACTCTTGTGTTCTGCACCACAAAATCTGGCAATGAAAAATTTGTCAAATTGTCCATTCCTTGAATCTAGGACTATGTTTGTACCCTCTCTGTATCTGCCAACAATGCATATGAAAAATGAACTTGTGGTAAGTTGATAACATTGGGGCCCAATTTATATGAATAATAATTAATTATAATTATAATAGCAGGGAATCTAACATGTATTGAACACCTTACTTCATACCTTTCTTGGTCCTTCAACAAACCTATGACATAGGTACTATCTTATACCCATTTTTAAGATTAAATAACTTACCCTTACTGGCATAGTAAAAACTGATAAAAATTCAAATGTAAATCTAGGCAGTCAGATTCCATAGTGCTCATTCATAGCTAGAACTCTATACTTAAGGATTTTGTAATACTTTAAACACTGGATATAATGAAACATATCTGATTTTGTTTTAGAGTTACATTATACCTTTATTTAAAAAATCACGACTGAATACACTCTTTTTAAAGAAGTTTTATTAAGATATAATTCACATAACTTACAGTTCAACCATTTAAAATGTACAATTTAATGATTTTTAATATATTCACAGATAAGTACAACTATCACTTCGATTTTAGAACATTTTTATTACCTCAAAAAAAAAGAAAAAAAGAACACTGTACCTATTCACTATTGCTCCCTTATCACTCCATCCAGCCCATTACTTTCTATTTCTATTAATTTGCTTACTCTGGACATTATATATAAATAGATTCACAAAATATGCAGTGTTTTGTGACTAGCTTCTTTTACTTAGCATAATGATTCAAGGTCCACTTATGTCCTACCCTGTATCAGTACTTCATATTTCATTCTTGTTTATTGCTGAATAGTATTCTCTTACATGAGTATACCACATTTTTAAATCCATTTATTAGTTGATGATTATTTGAATTGTTTCCACATTTTGGCTGCTATAATCTTTTGTGTACAAGTTTTGTGTGCACACACGTTTTCGTCTTTCTTGTGTATACGTCTCGGGGTGAAATCGCTGGGTCATATGGTTACTGTACATTTAACAACTTAAAAAAGTGTCAATGTATTTTCCAAGGTGGCTGCACCATTTTACATTCTTACACACAGTACATGAGGCTTCCAATTTCTCCACATCCTCATCAACACTCATTACGGTTGGATTATAGCAATTCTAGTGGGTGTGAATAGTATCTCATTATGGTTTTGATTTGCATTCCCTGAGGCCTAAGTTTGCTAAGTATCCTTTCATTGCTTCATGATCATGTGTACATCTTGTACAGAAAAATGTCTATTCAGATCCTTTACCCATTTTTAAATTGGGTTATTTGTCTTTTTATTGAACTATAAGAGTTCTTTATACGTTCTAGATACAAATCCCTTATAAGATGTATGACTTGCTAATTATTTGCTCACATTCTGGGGTTTGTCTTTTCACTTAGTTAATAGTGTCCTGTGAAGCAAAAACAGGTTTTTGTTTTGATGGAGTTCAACTTATTTTTTTTCTTTTGTTACTTGTGTTTTAATGTCATTTAAGAATCAACTGCCAAATCGAAGGTCATGAAGGTGTATCCCTATGTTTACTTCCAATAGCTTATAATTTTAGTCCTTACATTTAAGCCTTTGATCTATTTTGTGTTAATTTTATTTTTGATATGAGGAAAAGGTCCAACTTCAATCATTTGCATATGGCTATCCTGTTATCCCAGTGTTGTTTGTTAAAAAGACAATTTGTTCTTACCCCCACTGAATTGTCTTGGCACCCTTCTCAAATCAGTTACCTTTAGTCTCATGGGTTTATTCCTGGAATCTCCATTCAACTTCATGGAACTATATCTATACATATCTATCTATATCTCTATCTATATCTCTATCTATATCTCTATCTATCTACATATATATCTTTATACCAGCATCATGCTGTTTTGATTACTGTTGCTTTGTAGTAAGTTTCAAAAATGGGAAGTATGAACATTCCTACTTTGTTCTCTTTTTTCATGTCTGCTTTGGCTCTTCTGGGTCCCTTGAACTTCCATTTGAATTTTTAGGTTATCCATTTATTCAAAAAAGTTTCAGGTTTAGACTGAGATTGCATTGAATATGTTGATTGCTTTGAGAAATGTCACCCTCTTAACAGTTGAATTTTCCAGTCCATGAAAATTGTATATTATTCTACTTACTTAGATCTTTAATTTCTTCTAATAATTTTTTTCAGAATACAGTTTCTAGAGTATAAATTTTGCCCTCACTTTGTTAAATTGTTCCTAATTTAACATTCCTATTGTTAAATAGGATGCAATGTTCCTATTGCATTCCTTTTACTACTACTATAAAGGGGATTTTCTTAATTACATTTTCAGATTGTTCACTGGAAATATATAGAAAAAAGACATGATTTTTATGTATTCATCTTTTATGCTTCTATCTTACTAAGTTCATTTGTTAATTCTAATAGAGTTTTAGTGAATTCTTTAGGACTTTTTATGTACAAGATTACATCATCTGCAAATAGAAATAGTTTTACTTCTTCTTTTCCAACCTGGGTAGTTTTTTAATTCCATCTTGCCTGATTGCCACGACTATAATTTCTAGTATAATGTTGAACAGAAGTGGCAGAAGCAGACATTCTTGCCCTATTCCTCATTTTAGGGGGAAAGCATTAAGCTATGTTAGGTATGAATTTTTCATATTATCCCTTTATAAGGTTGGTAAGTCAACTTCTATTCCTAGTTTGTTAAGTGTTTTTATTATGAAAATATGTTGGACATTGTCAAATGCTTTTTTCTGCACTGAGAGAACCATGTGATGTTTACATTTTCTTCTATTGACATGGTATGCTATTTGCTTTTTTGAATATTAATATGTTGCCAGACTCAGTTTGCTAGTGTTTTGCTGAGGATTGTTATATCCATACCCCTTAAGAGATATTGATCTGTAGTTTTTCTTTTCTTTGTCTAGTTTTGATATCAAGGTAATAGTAACTTCATAGAATGAGTTGGGAAGTATTCTCTCCTCTTCTATTTTTTGGAAGAGTTTGTGAAGAACTGATGGCAACTTTTCTTTAAATTTTCGGTAGAATTCACCAGTGAAGCTTATATGGACCTAGATCCAGATAAACTTTGAGGGTATTCTTTTTTATTACAAATTCAATCTCTTATTATAGGTCTATTCAGACTATGTCTTTTTAGGTCAGTTTCAGTAGTTTGTGTTTTCCTTTTCAATAGATTCTTGCTCTTCTAGTTGTGCTAATGTTCATTAGTGAATTAAAGCTAGTGTTTAAAATCATTCAGAATTTGTTTTATTCTATGTTTCATATTTTACTGAATAAAATACATGAATAAAAATAATTAACTTGAAATCATAGTGTTGGAGAATAAACTTAACATTTAATCAATGGTGAGTTGAATTAGATTCTGGTCTCCTCATTGCTGTTCTTAACTCTAGTACTAACAAGCCAAGATGTATTTAATAAAATGATTTTATGGATATGAGTTTCCTCATTTGTATAAGAGGATGATTGGAGTAAGTGATCTTTAAGGTTCTTTCTTACCTAAAAATTCTATTATTTTGTGAAACATGAGTCAATGTGAGAGAAATGTGAGGTAAAGGGTATATGACATGAGAGCCATAAGCACAATAGGTAATCTGGGGCAAAAAACCTAGGTAAGTATAAACTGATGGCAAGTTCTGATAAAAGTTAAATAATGAGATTTGTTATTATGATACATAATCACTCATTTCAAATGATTATTCCATTTCAAACAAAGTTACTTCAAAATAATATTTAAAAAGTTGACTCTCTTTTCTGTCTTGAAATGTTTGATAAATAAATTATGAATATCTATAATGGGGTTTTATATGACACTCTCTCTAAATTAAATGTAAATGTGTTAACATGAGTAATGTTTAAAAAATAGTCAAGTAAAAACAAAGAGAGTTGCATAAAGTACATGTACTTGAATCACATTTGTGTAAATTAACACACACAAAGGTGCTATAAAATGAGGATAATTCAACACATTCCAGAATTATAGTTATGTATAAAGATGAAGGAAAGGTACAAGGGCAGAAGCATAGCATGGGCTTAACTAAATCTAAAATTTTCTTTTTAAAAATGTGTGAAATAAAAATTATAATACTTCAATATTTAATAAATTTGAATGGGGCTATCAATCTTTTATTTTGCATTTCCTTTAGTCATTTGTATACCAGAACTATTTCATAATAGTAAACAGAAAGGAAAAATTACCTGAATTTTATATGAAACAATTCGGAACTACATAAATGTAGGAATCAAATATCTAACCTCATGAAAATAAATATTTATCTTTCAATTAATTGATGATATGTTTTTACTAGTGGATAGTCAGAATACTCACCATTTGATGCTGTAAAATCAATAGCCACTGTGAAATTGATTTGCGTTCTAGAATATAAGTAAACACGAATCATTAATAATTAAATAATCTCATAAAAAAGAGTTAGTTTGATTTCCACTTGTGTTATCAAATTTTTTAATATTATTAAGTTTCTTAAAATACAGTACACACTGGATAGCATCAAGAGAGGCAGTTTTAAAAGGTAAAAGCTTGTAAAGAAAAATAAATAAAAGGTAAAAGCTTGGCAAAGTACCTTTACAATCATACAACTGTAAAATAAGAAATCAAATGTCAGGAATAAAAATAGCTCCTATTTGGGAGCACAATAACTAAGTGAAGGGCTCATAATAAAGAAGTCAAACTGCAAATAATGATTTGCCAGTCTCCAATGCCAACATCTACTATCAATTTGCTTTTAAAACCATCCCGTAGTCACTGTTGAATTATTAGTGTCTTAAAAGTGTGGCAGAGCTAAAATCATCTCTAATAATATCATTCCTTAAACTAATTCTTGCCACAATCCTTCACACTCAGACTTTCTTCTGCTCTCTTCAGAAATGAAGCATTTCAGATACTGATTGGTATTCCTCTGTGTGTAAATTTATAGACACAGATAAGTATTTATATAGATGATATTGGTTATATATAGTTTAAATTTTCAGCACATGGTAGTTATCCAAAATTATTTTACTGGGTAAAATACCTTTTCTTTTTCTTTCCTTTTTTTTTTTTCTGATGGAAACCTAAGAAGTGGCACTTGAATAAAAAAATTCACTCTTTTGGATACACCTCTGACTCTTTCTATATGTAATCCTACACCTTTCTTACCAAACCGGGCAAAAAAAAAAAAAAAACCCACAAATAAGCAATAATAAGACAATTACTGGGATAACACACAAACACATCTAATTTAAAAAATAATCTAATTTAAAAAGTAAGTCATTTGAAAACATGAGTGCTATAAATCACCTTATTTTTAGAGACAAATTACTTTGGACATATTGCACAACTTATTAAACACTTCAAAGTTTGGAATCACTATTTAAATGACGCCGATGATGAAGATGACAAGGATGATGTTGATGATGCTGATGGGTGCTACAACATAGGGTCCCTTGTGGTTCTCAGAGTATAAATTATAGTAATATTTCCTTCTTTTTCTAAAAATTCAGCCTCAAAATCCCTAAAGACTATTTAAGTATTGAAACATATTCACACGTTTTTTTCCCTAAGGAATGCACAAACTTTTGTGCTTTACATTTAATAACAACGATTATAGATTCTCTTTATAGCTATAGGCAATTTTTTTTTCATTAGAAATTAGGTTAATAGGCTAAGAATATAGGCTAATTTGGAGCATGACACTAACTAGTATGAACTGAAAGGAGTTAAAAAGTTTTAGAAAAAGAATTTAGCGAGACATCTGGGAGAACATTTTGAGATAATAAATTCCTTTGAGGAACCTAAAAGAACTGTCACCATCAGCACATTGCTTCGTCATTCTGGTACAAGGGAGAGAAGTAACTGTAATACAGAGTAGTATGGTGTATTAGAAAGAGTGAAGCTTTGGAGTCTGAAAGAACAGGGTTTCAATTCCAGCAACCAGCTGCTGACATTAGTCATGTTTCAAAAGTCTCAGAGGTCAAGTGCCTGGCACACAATAACAGCAAGACCTAACAGAAATACTAAATGGTATACTATATCTCTCTATATTTATATGTGTATGTATATATAATCTGTATTACAGATATACATTATATATTATAAGCATATAAAATGTGCTTTTACATAACTTATATCAACTAACATTTTAACATTTTTAAAAGACACCATTATTCTCCTTTAATAGACAAGGAAATCTATGCTCCCAAAACTTCATAACTTTGACACAAGTAATAAATGGCAGTACTGAAATTTGAATTCACATCTAACTTCAAAGACCACATTCATAAACTCTATACATACTACTCTATTTCTACAGTTAAATACTTATAAACTGCTTGACTATAATAACACAATAAAAGATAATGATTATTATGTTACAAACAAAAATGATCCTATACAAGTATCCTTAATGATAAGGTGAGGGCACATTCTGGTGCTCGGGCAAATGAGCTCATCTATCAAGTATGTTGTTAAATACAAAAATCACAAAATGATCAGTATAAATATCTTTATACGTTAATTTTTCCAAGTGACACCTCTTTAGAAATGGAAAATAACTCTGAGTTTCAAGAATGTATATTTTAGCACATTATAAAGGTCAGTTTAGGAATTGAGTCTTTGGTTCAGTCTCCCTTAGTTTGTAGGAACAGACACCTTGTATTGATTCAACTGTCTCTTGCAACAGTGTCTATACAATGTTTGGTCAATATTAGAACCTCACTGTATTTATTGGGTGATCGAATGTATTCATTTTATGATTGCTTCCAATCTGTTCTCCAGGATAGCCCAGGATGTGTAGCATAACCTCCAGCTTCTTAGAAGCATTAGTTGCAGGTAAAAAAAAAAAAATTCAGTACTCAGAGATACATTGGTCCGTTCAAAGCCAAAGCTGTGCCTAGCAAAACTATTAGGAAAGGACATGACTATTAAAGGACTATACTGTACATAAGAATTAAAAAAGAAGAGATATTTATTATTAAACTACAGCCCTGAAACCTCTAGCTAACAAAACCTCTAGTTAGCTAAACAAACTAAATTACAAAACCAAGCAGGTTAGGTACCCCCAAAATAATGAAATATTTAAGAAAAAGAGAAAACTTTAAAAGAAGAAAGAATGAAGGAAAGAAAGAAGGAAAAGAGAAAGAGAGGGAGAGCCTCCTATCGTACTATTTGGGTTTATCCATTTAAAAAACTACAATTCAACATTTATTGAGCATCTTCTGATTGCCAGGCACTGTGTTAAGAAAATAGAAGCAAACCAAAAAACTATTCTTAAACTCCTGGAGTTTACAATTCCAGCTTTTACTATTAAAAACAATGACGGAAGCACCTGGGTGGCTCAGTCGGTTAAGCATCTGACTTCAGCTCAGGTCATGATCTCGCGGTTCGTGGGTTTGAGCCCCACATCGGGCTCTGTGCTGACTGCCAGCTAAGAGCCTGGAGCCTATTTCAGAGTCTGTGTCTCCCTCTCTCTCTGACCCTCCCCTGCTCACGCTGTCTCTCTCTCTCAAAAATAAATAAAAACATAAAAAAAATTTAAAAAACAATGACGGGTGATGGGCATTGAGGAGGGCATTTGTTGGTAGGAGCAGTAGGTGTTGTATGTAAGCCAATTTGGCAATAAATTATATTTAAAAAATAATAAAAAAACAATGACAAAAATAGCACAGCAGTTTATCATTGAATTCATAATAAACAGCATAACCTAAAACTCAACTGTACACTTACTGTAGATAACACCTAATTTATTCCCATGATTCCCAAGTTTCCATTCATAGTATAATGTATATTCGTTATACCAGGTGTCACATTCTACATGTTTTGGAAATACTAATTAATAAAAGTTTTAAAGAAAGTTGCTAGCAATACTAAAACTTTAAGCCAGAAGACAGATTTCTTGAGGACTTTGATAAATGAACTGTGTCATAAAAGTAAACCAAACAAAACATCTTCACCAGTAATACTGTTATCCTTTTCCATTCTTTAATATTGCATGAAGCCTAATGTTGGACAAAAAAATCAATCACACGTCAAAGTAAAAAATCTGAATTCACACAAGATGACTCCTTGTAGAATATTCATAAAATGATCACATATAAATCCTTGAAATATTCTGCTTAGGAAGCGTTACTTTAGCTGTCATTTTGCGTTTTAGAAGCAGACAAGAAGGAACAGAATTTCAAGAAACCTGGATAGGAGTATTATATTTTAGAGTGTAAATAAAGGCATGCCTGCCAAATTTCATGAGTTAATAGTAACATCTCATGAGACTTCTCAATGCATATGTCCTAGTACTGCTAAAATATATTCTTGGAAAATGTCTATTTTACTCTGCCACCTTTCCAAAAGCTGTAAATGACAAATCAGACGTCAAGATGGAAGATTTAACCAGCAGAGCAAACATCCATAGAAAACAAGTATATATGTGTACGTCAAAGAAAATTACACATATCCACGCGCATGCGCATGTGCACATACAGTAATACCCTCTCGGACAACTTTTCTACAGCTGTCATTATGAATTAGTTATTGAGAACTAACAACTGTGATGGGGATGTGCAGAAGATCGTCTTAATTTCTTCCAAATTTCCTATTCTGTTCAGCTACACAAACTGAACATCATCAGTATGAAAGATGAACTGTCGCCATCCTTTTTAAAATTAATTTAACAAACGCAGGTTCTAATCCACTTGCTGTTGGAATTTAGAACACTGAAATGAAATTGAGATGCCCACTTAGCTCTAATATTCCTCTTATTCTTGCCACGCCGGCACCAAGACTATGCTTCTGCCTTGATAAACTGACATGCACTCTCATTCTCACTTGGGTTCTGGAATCTAGCCTGAATCCCTGATTCACTTGCCTCAGGTACCACCATCATGCAGCCCAACCCTTCTTATCATGAGCTCACCATGGGCTAAACCCTTTCCTTTATTACCTTTTCCCTTTTTCTTAAAAGTAGTTCAACTCCCTAAACAATTACAGCAGCAAAAACAATTACCTGATTCTAAATTTTGCAGCACCTTCAAAATTCCTGCTTCCTGTGTCCATAAGCTACTCACAGCAAGTGAGATCTAGAATGATGGCAAGTTTTGGGATACACAAATGTAAATTCAAACAAACATTTTCACCTACTTGCAGTGTAATCTTGCAAAAGCTATTTAACCTCCCTGCAGCTCACTTAGACTAAGTTAAGGATAATAAAACCTTCCTTGGGTTGTTGTTTTGAGGACAAACACCTGTAATTAGTAGGCACTCAATAAGAAGTTGTTATGCTTATTATCACCATTAATGATGTTAGCTTTTTGGGATCTGAGTTAGCATACTTCTTTGAAAACTGGAACACACAGTGCTTATCAAATTTCTGGACCTACCAGAGTTT